ACTGTGACTGCTGGAAATGGGCACCAGTGACCCACGCGACCCTGAAAAAGGAAGAAGCGTGTACAGAAAATGGATGGATGGATAAACAAAGACCAGGGAGCTTGGTTTGTTAACGAGTTCCCCTTTGATGTCACTTCCTGTTTCACTTTGGCTGAGTCAAGCTCAAAAGAAAATGCACCAGTTAAGGGACAAAATGGGTAAAATCGTGTGTATTGTTCCAACTTTCTTAAATATAAAGATGTTTTCTTTGACTTTTTGTATTTGAAGAATATGCATGTCACAGGTACTTTAAAGGCACTTACCTTTTCCAAAGTATTCCAGTACTAGCAGCCACACCGGTCACCCCAGCCAGGGCAGCCAGCATCAGCCTCCTCCGGCCAGTCCCTCGTGCGGCTCCACTGTGGTAGCAGCGGGACAGCTGCGTTAGACCCACCGAAACGGCGGACAACACCCGCAAGCGGAACATACTGCAGAGAGAGAGAGAGAGAGAGAATAATTTAGGTTTTAAAAATAGAAATCTGTACTTTGGTCTGATTTGTTCAAATTGTATCTGTTTACATGGTTTCCACCATGAAGCACGGAGGAGGTGTGATGTCGTTAGGTTGCTTTACTGATGACACTGAATTTAAAGCAATACTTAAACAACACAGCTAGCGCCACATTCTCTAGCAACGCTTTATGAAATTTACACTTAGTCATTTGTACTTATCAAAAAAGCCCAAGTTATGCAACATCAGTGTGTGCCGACGTTCTCAGCTGTGAGTTAGCATCCTGTCGAGCACAATTCAACGTATAATAGTTTTCTATAAACGCATACACATCTCTTAAGCACCCGTTTAGAACAGTATGCTGCTAATACCAAATCTAGTAAAAATAGCAATGTTGTTGAAGTAAGCATATTGATTTACAGTGAGCTGAGCTATGATCCGGTTAAAGATTATAACAAGCAGCAAAGGAGGAAATGTCCCCTTAAATCAGAGATTACCTGTCAGACTCATCTAAGTTTATTGCTGTATTAGTAAAGACATAAAAAATGCCAAAAATTACCCAATTATTCACAAAAATTCTGTAATTCATCCTATTAATAAGATTCACTGTCTTTATTCATTACATTGGCATTGAAACCTGTTTCTTTTTTAAAATGTGTTTAACTTTTATTTAGCCAAGAACTCCCTTGAGATGATCACTGAAAGTGGTCTATGGTCGAAGTGGGTGAACGACGCTCTCGCCATCGCATCTCTGCGGAGCATCTGGTCTGATACGCCACCTGAAATGGAGCGTAACCTCCACCTACCTGGCGACCTGCTTTGTCAGCTGGCTGGTAAATGGTGTGCAGCCAGAAACGGGCTTCATTCATTGCAACCTGGCACCTCAGATTTAATTTACAATGAAGTGTGATGTAATGCAACGTCTTTTAATATTACGGGCAAAACTCAACTTAAACTAATTTCCACTGGTTCAGCTAAGCTCCAGAGTTTTATTCTAAAATGTGTGAAGCCTCTGAACTCAGAAGTGTCACAGAAAGATGATTAACAATTAAGTTGATGCCTACTGGTGTGCATCTGTAGCTGCCGTGTGTGCCCTTCTCAAACTACAGGATGGAGGAGTTCGCACYACTGAGGCCTAAAGCAACCACCTGTTGATATCCTATTAACAATTCAGGCACCAACTGTCAAATGAACTCAGCAGGAAGAAAAAAAAAACACGACATGGCATGGGTTAATTAGAGAGTTTAGCAGTCCGTGACAATGGGGACCAAAGGGACCAGGAAAAGAGCAAGTAAACTATTTTTTGAGCTAGTCTAATGAAAAAAAAAACAATCACAAGAGTCTATAAAACTCACAATAATGCAATGAGACAATTTATCCAGAGACATTCTTAAACACAAATATTACATGTAGGACACAGATAGTATAAAATCCTGTATAATTATAATTAAATTATGTAGCTTAAATATAATAAATTGCTCAGTGATACATATCAGTAATAATGGTATCAGTTTCAAGATAATTTGTTGGCGTACAATTGTTCATGGATCTCTACAAACATGTGCCACATGAGCTAAAATAAGTCAAAATTCAAAAGGACTGTCCCGTGACACAAATTTGTTTTTTCGTCTCTTTGACTCCTCGCTGCCAGCCGAGGGAAGCTAATTAAAGCTCCTATAATTAGGTCTGAATCTTTGTAACGAGCCCATGAAGGTAATTATTTTCAAAACGAATAATTCTGTGATCTGTAAAATTCCCCAGTAGAGACTAGTCTTGCAGTGAGTGCAGAAAATACTTTTCGTTTAATCTAACTGCACACTGGTTCTGTTCTGCTCAATGTTCTGGACTAAAAGAACAAAATAAAATGTAAACAAAGTCTTGATTTTAAAATAAGAAACTCACTTAAGACTTTCAAATATTGGTTGGTATTTATATATTTTAATGCTCAATGTCTGTTTGAATGATGTTATTATAATTTACTTTATGAAAGCAAGCCCGCTACTAATCAATCCTGGGAACAAATCAATGTCATTTCAATAAACTGGTTTGTACCAGTCAGATGAAGTAAAACTAATTTTTTTGCAGATATCCAAAATATCAATGCTCACAGTCAAAACAAACATTAGCCACATATGCTGTTAGGTGTGTTGACCTGGCACAACTGAAAATTAGATTTTCATAAAAGATTAAGTTGAATAATTTGCATTGGACAAGGATTTAATTACATTAATGTAGTCACCTATCATTTAGAGATAAACTTAATAGTATAACTGTATAATAGAATTTGAAAAATAATTTCAGGCTGACTAAAATGTAGGATTTGGTTGAACATATAAGTTGCAGATGGTTAAAGCTTTAACAGAGAAGTATTTTAGAAAGACCCAGAGCTGCAATTGAAGCCAAAACCCTTTTAATTAAAGTTTTTTTTTCCTTATTGTGGTTCAGACACTGCAGTTCACTGATGTAAGTAAAAACGCTAACAAGTGAAAGACCAGGCTGCAGTTATTTGTTAATTTAGTAACAAAATCCATCATAATGTACTGATCAGCTCACGAGAAGCCAATAACACACAGTTGTTTATTTGTGACTACAGCATAGCAGAGGCACGCCATGTTAAAAGGAACATGTTACTAGGTATGTGACGAGAGTGGAAGTTACAAAACATTTAACACAAATACGTGGAGCAGGATTAAAAATTTATCCACATCCCTACCTTTAAAAATATATATAGATTTAGTCAGCTAATATTGTTCATCAAAACTCTTTCAAAGGGATTTAAAAAAATACAAATTGTGAATATACACACACGCCTGGATTATACCTTTAAAATATTATCAAAGAAACATTAATTTTCTGATTGATCACAGTTATGGAGGTAATTTGTTATAATTCACCGGAAATATCAACAACAAACATAGAAAAGTTAAACATGTCATGTTGTAAACTGAATCTAAGACAGTCTACATTATAAATGCTGCTTAATTTCCTGCACAGATCCGGCAATTTTAAACACACCAATGTTTTGTTTATAGATACATTTTTTAAAAAGTATTACAGCAAGAGACCCAGGAGCCCACCTGWGCTTTTCATCCTCCAAAACAAGCCGAACAGATGGCAGCTCAGTTTAGTTAATTAAAATGACACATTTTAGTGTTCTCTCGTGTAATCTGTGCATCTACAGTAAACAAAACAAGTCTGCTAACATGAAGGTACACTGTCTTTTTGGTGTGGCTCATTTCGCTTTACTGAGACTGTTTAACACATGGATAACAGCACGTCAACTTTGACTRTCAAGACTAAAAAAAATACATGACGTTTAGAGTCATTTCAATTTGAAAAGGCGCAAAATTAAAGCACGAAACCTTAAAATTCTTGCAGTCATGTTCGGAAATCAAAAACTACACAGCAAGTGATGATCCTTCTGTTTTSTTTTTAGCTGCTAGTAACGTAGGCAAAAATCCGACAGTAAAACTAAACAAAAAAAGATTAGCTGTTGCCTATTTATTGACTCGTAATAAGCGCTTTTAACTTAATTCACCCTTCGTATTGTTTAAGATTAAGCATCGAGTGAAATAACTGTTCCGTAGAGCAGCTAACGCCAGCTAGCTTAGCTTAGCTTAGCTTAAACAGCTGGTAAGGCTGCTGTCCCGACTCACCGCTAAACACATAAAACTGTCTCACAGCTAATAAAACGACGTGTTCACTCACATTAACGACAACTAAAACACTGGTCGGTCCAAAAAAACCATGAGTGCTTCAGAAGACGTCCGTACAGAGATGCAGCACTGTGCGTTGGTTCCGTGTTCTCCCAGGCAGCGGAGCAGACAGCGAGGATAGGCCGACGTGTCTGAAACCACGCCCCGCAGAGAGGAACCAGGCTCCCGGCCCCTCCCACTGGTGTTCAGGAACAGACTCAGAAATAACACCAACATTGAAATTACAGGTTAAACAGCTGCATCACATTCCCTACTCAATATGTACTATTTAATTGGATTTTAATCAACAGTTCTTGAGACTGTCTGAAGGCCTTTCAGTGTTTATTAATTTATTTTTTATTTTGGCTTCCTTTACACTATACCTGCCCATATTCTGCTGTATCTTCTTTAAAATTTGAGGTAAATAGAGAACAAAGAAGTGCCAGGTGTGAGAAAATTATCCATTTCAGACAAACAGCAATCTGACTTACTCTGGGTGTCATTAAGTCAGCCTCTACTAATGTAATTAACCTTAGTGTGCTTTTCGACTGCGACGTGGAAAATACCAGGACCTCTTTTTTTCTTGTCATAAAAAGATGCAGAAAAACTGGTCTGAGCGTTTATCATTTCCAGACTGGGCTATTGTAAAAGTATGACGGAGTATTAGGGCCACACAACGAGATTTATTTGTTTATTTTAATTACGAGAATAAAGTTTACAACATGTTACAACATTAAAGTCGTATGGAAATAAAGTCATAATATCATGAGAATAAATTTGTAACATTGTGAGATTAAAGTCATAATATTATGAGATTAAAGTCATAATATTATGAGATTAAAGTCATCTTATTAAAAGTCATAATATTCTAAAATTAAAGTCGCAATACATGAAAAAGCATGCAGTTTTAACACTGCATTAAAATGAGAAATGTTGAGCAACTTGTCAAGTTGTTATTTATTGCTTAAAACAAATAATTAATCTTTTAGCACATTAGCATCAAATTATCAGTAGCAGGACTTGGAAATTGTGCAAACGACTTTATGATAAACTGAAGCATGCATTGACAGATTTAGTCAGCACGTAACTAATTTGGATGAAAGCATATTAATCTAACAGTGACCCAAGTCATCGTAGACTATGAACACATGGCTGTCCACAGAAGGTGTCTTTTTTCCATAATATTATGACTTTATTGTCGTAATAATGATTTTAAAAAATCTTGTTGTGTGGCCCTAATACTCCGTCATATAAAAGCACCAAAAATGCTGCAAGTTAGAAGGCACTTTGTTCAGCAACAAAAAAAAAGTTTGTTTTCTGGAAGAAAAATTTCATAGAGCTGGATAGCATGGTACTAAATGCCATACAATCTGTAAAGAATTTTTTTTTATTTTACACACACAAGGCAATTCCAAGACATTGATGCACTTTAGTTTATCAAACACGTAAATAAACCTTTTTGTGTGTTTGTGTGTGTACAGTGTACAGAGCGTTTACGAGCAGTGTTACTTTCTATGGAGCAGAGATTTGGGGTCTCTGCTGTCACTGATGAATACCTTGAATGACAGTATTGAGCAGTGTTTGAAAATGCGACAGCTCTGAGTGACTGCCTTCCTTACGGACGACCAACACAAACTGAATGTTGTCTTGGATCCATATCCAATGGTGTATATGCAAAATGAGAAATGAGGGAGCTGCATGGAGATGTCTCAAAAAAGACTGTGACTCACAGGGACTTGATACAATAAAACTGACAGTGCAGAGCAAATTTCTGTTTTATGTGACAACCCACCCCAACGTCAACTACGATATGAATAAAATGTAGACAGATTCGATACAAAGCTGCGTGGCTGAGCTAAACCAATCTTTAAAAACAGAAAAAAACTAACTACTGAGCCTGTCAGACTGTGGTCCTTGTCCCTGTAGCCAGTACAAAACAATATCTTAAATGTACCATACCAGCTTTATTTATAAAGCACAACAAACCACAGAACAAAACATCAGAAGATACAATATCGTTTTTAAAAAGCACTTGGCTGAAGCTGGCAAAAAGAAGTTTGAATCATGTAATGGACCTGCATCAAGCTGTTGTCTTCTTTATTAGATTAGGTGGAATTAGACAAGAGTAGAATCTCGAAATAAACATTTAGGGGGAGACATAAAAAGGAATCCGTGGCTTAGATAAGATAGAATAAAAAACACATATGACATGTATTTTACAGTCATCTGCATAACAGAGAAAAGAAATGCATTGTTTTCGAAGTACGGACCCAAGTGAGAACAAATGCAGCAAAAAGAGGAGAGGGCCTAAAACAGAGCCTTGTGGGACTCCACATAGAGTAGAATATATATAACTGTTTTCATAATCACTGTACGGCTTGTGTACAATAAGTGAGGAGAACATAGATTCATCGAGCTTAATGCAGAACATTTGCTCCTTCAATTAGAACCTGAACTACTCCAGAGCTTTGTCCTTGATGCCCACCCACTGCTCCAAACAAGAAAGTAGGAAATTCTGATTCACAGAAACAAATGCAGCAGTTAAAACTAAATACACAAGAGTAACAGTGTGATACACAAATATTAGAGCAAATATTTCACTTCTCTACAGGCTTGTAAAAACAGGAAGACTTTATTTATTTATTTTGAAACAGCCACATTTTATCTGGAATTGGTCTTCTGTGTATTTCCTACAATAAACTATTTAGCCTGCAGGTTCAAACAATGGATTTCTTTTAATGCCACTTACACAATGCAAATGCACTAATCCTGCTGGTACCAAATCATCACATTCTCTTGAGAAGATGCGCACGACGCAAGAAAGTTTAACGATTATAAATTTATGAAAAAAGCCATAACTCAGTCAAAACAAAGCCAAACGTTTTACCTTTGAGAGTTGGTGATATTCAATGACAATACAGACAAACGCCTCTATAAAAGTGAAACATTGTCCTCACATGTGGAGCCAGAATCTGAGCTTGCTTTATCAATACAACTATTACAAAAACAAATGGACTTTTTGGTCCAAAAGGCCAGCGGGGGAGTAAGCAATGTGACTGATTTCTGTGAGCTTTTTTGATTGCCTCCTAACAGGGCTCAGTTACTCTTCATAATAAATGTGAGTAACTTACGTTGGCAAAAAAAACAATAGCATACACGCTACAACTGAATTAGTTGCTTGCAATCTTAATTGCAAATCTTTATCTTTATTACTCTTTGTCTGTTCCCGCTGTCCTTTCTCTCCTCCTCGTTCCACACATATTAATAAACGAGGCTGCCTAACTGTGCCTGCAGCTCTCCAGTGCAGTGCTCATTAACACAGGCCATTTATCACAAGAACCCCACAATACATAACTGTCAGCATTCGAATTTCATATTTGACGTAAATAACGTCAAAACAGCAATAACCTCGGCATGACCCAAGAGACAAAGATACAATGGCGGCGAATACTTTCCTCGTTTTGAGACATTCGTCTTATTTGAATCAGTCAAGGCAGTCATTTATTATTCTCAGTGATATGAATAACACAAAGCAAATCAGTTTCTACAAAAGAGAGACGGGAGAATACAATTTGAATATTCATTCACTTTACGTAAAATGCAACTCGCAAGTAATTAGGTCCCCCACAACACAACTTAAATAGGAGTTGATAAATATTTTGTATTTAAATTCATGCACATCGGAGGCTGCTGGTGATGTTTTTAGGAGTCTGGTTTAATCAAACTAAAGGATGTGATTCAGTTAGTTTTACTATTATTGTGATAAAATTAGGTGTGGCTGTAGCTAAAAGTCATTCACACACATCTCATAAGGAGATTGTGCATAAAGTTATTATCAAAGTTGTAACAAAACGGCTACAACTTTGTGATTTCTTAACATAAGAGTCTAAAACAGAGGTGTCCAACCYATTTTCACTGAGGGCCACCATAATGCTTACTGTATGTGGCCCTCAGAGGGCTAGATGTTTTTAACTTGGATGTTTCGTGTTTAACTTYGACCTAACCGGTCTTTCCTTAACATGTCCTCTTAACCCTGAAAATTACTATGTGTACGACCGAGTAAATGTGTAATAAATAACAGAAATACTATTAAATGGAAGACAGTAGCTGCCATCTTGAATTCTGAACCCTCCCATTTTCCGACAGGAAAATTATCCCATAATCGACATGCATTATGGGACATGTAGTTTATGGTCAATGCTGACCTTAAAGCAGCTTTTTTGAAATATTAATAGGCTGTTCAACTAAATTGCTCAGGGGCCACAGTTTCTTAAAGCCAACAGCTCAGGGTTCGGACAAGTACTATTTTCTTTGACTTTTTAAATGTGTTCATTTTGTTGCATTGAATCATAAATTTAAAAATACAAAAACTATTGTCATTAAATTACAATACGTTTAAACATAGATATGTATAACTGTTTTAAATAATTTTATTTGGAGTGTGGGCGGGGCCCCATTGGCGGACCGGACAGAAATCACCCACAGACCACATTTGGCCTGTGGACCTTCAGTTTGACATGTAGTCTAAAACATTAAATGCTAGGTCTTAATTTATAATATTTTTTAAGGTTTACATCTTGTTAAGGTAGACTTACGTTTTAGCCACAGTGCTGCAGTCACAGCGATCTATACATATAATTCATGCTGATTACCACCATCCTGGCGTTGAGGCGGTGCAAAGGTGGAGCAGGAGATAAGAAGCTTCTGCAGAGCCTCAAATGTTTTTGGGAACTGTTTTTTTAATTAAATGCTGTTGCAAGCCTTTGCGGCTTGTGTTTGCTTTTAGCGTCTCAGTGTTGGAAGCACACTTCTAAAGCCACGGGGAAGTGTATATTTGCCTCACTTCCACCATGCTGTTTTTTCCTGCACAGTTTATTATACTCGGAAGGTGAAAACAACAGTGAAACCTGATCCACAAACTCTCCTTCTGTGAAAAAAAGAAAAARATCACTCAGGCGGAGGGTTCCAGACAAAAGCCGGCTCCRTTTACAGCAGTCCTCTTTCTGTACGGGCCCTGTAGCCGGCGTGTGCATGGGTGAGGCTGCGTACCTGCTTTGTTGTGGCTGTGTTTACTGAAGAAACTGACTGGTGGTGTGATGAAATAGAAGTTACACACCCATAAGGTTTGCCTCTTTTTTTTGTTGTTGGACTTTGGGTGAGGCTTTTTATTGCTGCTGGGTAACATTTCAGTCATGCACAAACGTGTACACACGTGCAAGAAGACATTTTACACTTTGCACACCTTAAGTTTGTTCTTGCCAGGGTTCGTTCATGTTGTGATAATCACTGTGAGTTTGCTCATTTGTCAAATTCAGGTAGTTTTCAAGACATTGAGCCAACATTTGGTGTGGTAGTAGTCGGTAAAAATAGTCAGTAAAAATTCAAAAGAACTCACATTATTTCATGCAGTCGTCCGTAACATCATTGATGTTTGAACAAAACAGTATAACTGTAGCCTGGTGATAAGATAATCATCTAAAACGCCTTCATGGGAGGCAGCAGGCGACATTCATTCTTTCAAACAAAACTAGGCCCAAAAATTAATTTTTTTTTTACATTTTTCTGCACCATCTTTTCTTTTTGGTTTCGTATTAACCGACGACGCACGTGCAGTTCTACCAGCACTGTAAAGGTTCACCCGAGCCCAGAGTGGCTGGAAAGATTCTCCCTGTGAATCGATGCAGCTTCAAGGCTTTGAGCAGGTCATTGTCCACGGCTGAAAATTTGCATTTAAATAGCATCACTCGTACAGCCTGATGCACTGCACCTGAAAAAGTCAGGAGGGAATCGAGAGAAACTCGGGAGAAATTAAATATTACTTTGTTACTATGATAAAGGGTGGGCCTTGTTGACATCAAAACGGATTTTATTCTTTGTTCTTGTTTCTTTCTTTTAAGCTCAAATTATCAAACGTTTTATTGTACAATTATCTACACCAGGGTTATAAAAATATGTTTACTCTTGTGAAATAATAGCAATATCTGGTTTCCCCTTTGACCAAGACAGGAGCAGCCTTTTATGACAGGACTGGTCAAAGATTAATGCCAACACATTTCACTGAGAGTCTCCTTGACAATYATTAACCAAAAACACCTAYTACTAYTGTAGGGTCCAAGAGTGGGGGGCCTCTTCTCAGGAAYGCACAGATGTGATGTCTCTTGGTTTTTCCAGCTTCAGAGCTCGGCACATAKTACCATGTTAGGAAGAAGGTATACCGTGACAAAATTTATGGTGCATCTGTGGACTACACTRTAAAGAGCCTTGTACGCCCCTGCTCTTCGCCTTTGTTCTTCATCTTCCTTACTTGATGAATCATTTGGTTTGAAGGCCACAATTCGGTTTTTGGCTGTAATCTCCTGGACTGCAAAACAAAGATTCTTGCTGTTCAACCAGCCTGTTTCAGAGTTCTCTCTTCAYTGAGCAACAGCAGTTCCACTTCAACCAGAAGTCGTGGTTATTTTCACCTCACTACGATTTGCAGTGGTTGGACAACTGTTGACAAAAAGAGAATTTCTACCACTTAGCTGCTCGCTCTGTCACATCATTGTGTTAGAAGATCCCGAATGCGTCGGACAAATGCTCTACAATTTAAAGCGGGTGTTTAAAAGCAGCAGCAGATCAGCTCAGTTGATCCTGCCCGGTTGTTTTTTGGGACACGCTGTAGTCACGAAGCGTAACTGAAGGACAAGCTATTTTTACACAGATAAATAGTTGCTGTGGGTAGTGACAGCAAAAACATTCATACCGGTTACAGTAAAACGTGTCTCTTTCAAGGTAACTTTCTAAAGCAGTCTGCTTTCCGTCGAGCTCAGAAACTGTTGAGCAAGTTATTTCTTACAACAAGATGTGAACTATAGAGATCATAACTGGCTAAGCAGGTATGATAAACAGGTTGAACTGGGAAATCAATGATAAAACAGTTGATCCTGAACTGTACTGAATGGTGCGGCATGAAAGAGTTTACTCCAGTAGTTTTCGAGAAATGCTAATGTGCAGTTCTGAAATGTGGGTCCGTGCTCAACGTAAACAAAGCACTAAATCCACCAAAAATTCATGTGGAAGCTTGAGTAACACGACTGACCTACATTCAGCTGCCTAAAATTTGATATGCATACTTCAGCCGTTTCTGTAAGTAAATAAAAGTACAAAGTACTTACAAACTTTTAACTTAAAGACACATCTATCGATATAAGTAATATATTTTAAGGATTTTAATTTTTACTTTATGATTTATTTCTGGTCTTTTTTGACTTTGCAATGAACATTTTTATTATTTACAAGTACATTTTTGAAGAAATTTTGAATGGTGTCAATGCAATCCATATGTTTAAGCTAACAAATCATTTATGTTTTGATTTAAACTGAATAAGAGACGTAAAGAAGATCAAAAGAAAAGCGAATTAGTTTATCCATGGTAACCACACACCGGTGTCTGTCACTGGCTTTTTACGTTGTGTTTAGGCAGAAACTGTCAGTCTGATCTGGAAACCCTGCAGTTATGGTTTTGAGTTTGGAACATATTTTTGGACATTATTTGAAGATGTAAACCCCTTCGGATGTTTACCTGCTCTTGACCCTGAAATATCTGTAATTTTCACAAAAACAAAAACAGTTTTAAGGGCAAAGGAGGGTGGCGGGAGGAGGCAGAGCGGGTTGGTTATTTAATTTTATTTATTGCTTATTTTCCCCCACATCCTAGCTCTGAGACATAAAATAAATTTGAAGTTTCCCTATAGGTTTTTATACCTGCAAAACAGGGGGAAATCCGTGAAATTTACATGCATGAGACCCCTACTTTGTCTTTTATGACCCAGAATGGGGTCCAGACCCCAGCAGTTGGGAACTACTGAGGTAGTTCGGGCTTTTGCGGTGTTGGGTCCTACGTTATGGAACACATTTATTCTCTGGCTTTTACTACCTCACAGGATGTTTTTTTAATTTTATTTTATTATGTCCAAAACTCCACAGCAAGCCTCCTAACTTGAACCTCCAAATTCACCCACATCTCCCCGATTCTTGAAGAACTTCACTGGCTTCTGGTTCAGTTCAGAATCCGGTTCTAAATCCTGGTCCTCACCTTCAGAGCTCTTCATGGCCAAGCACCTGAATTCATTAAAAGTCTCTTTCCCCCTTACAACCCCAGACGARACCTCCGCTCACAAGATCAACATCACCTTATGGYTCCCCTCACTCGMTTTAAGACCCRTRGTGACYGGTCCTTCTCCTCTTTGGCCTCCAGGCTCTGGAATGAACTCCCTGTTAATCTRYGCTYCCTTGATCAAGACRCTCCTAAAAACTCACYTTTTTACTCAAACGTTTAGCGAACCATTACACCATTACTGCCATCCTACCTCCATAGTGAATGCTTGCCAATCTGTGTTTTCTTCACAAYTGAACTTACGCCATATTTTTCTCTCCCGCATTCATTATGTTTATTATTGTATATTTTGAACTGCATTGACCTTGTGTTTGATTTACAATTTTAGAAATTACTTTCTTGGTTTGATGTTTCAATTTTTCGTTGCTTATGTGGAATTATGTTTTTCTTTCATTTTATTCTTTCCACCATTTTTACACTGTTAATGATCGTACAGCACCTTGTGAACATACTTCTGTGAAATGCGCTTTATAAATAAAACTTTACTTACTTATTTATTATTTTGTAAATT